TTTGTTTTATGAGGATCTTGACATGTGTATAAAGAAGGGAATGGAAAGTGATTTTCAGTTTTCTTATGGTTTGCTTTACTCAGGACTCAGGACAGGGTTCAAGTTTTTACTGTACTGTAATGACCCAATCAACAATGGGTGTAAGGGCATACACAAGATTTTGTTTTACATACCGAGTAGTGACTTGTACTCATATTTACTCAGAAAATCATTTGAACATATTTTTTTTAGCTCAATTGAATTTATGTGACATATTTAAGTCTTCCACATTCTGTGTCTGTAATTGGTTCTATTTTCAAGGCTATCTTTATAATGTATTCTTCTAAACATTGGTCATGTTTGAATAACATTGATAAAAAACTACCGATAATAGTTGGGCAGTTTCTTGTAGTCATAGCAACCATAAATACAATTTTATACATGCTTCTGTTGAAGAAGAGCTTCTCTTAGAACAAATGCAGTATAAATATTATAGATCTGTATAGGAGAAATTGCTTTTTAATGGAATTTGTGTTTTTAATTGATTTTATGTATCATGTTATTGTGAAATATAATTAATTAATTTTGCTAGAGTGCATTATAACAGAGTATCAAATAATAGTATGTGTGGATCACAGCAGTCTTAATAATGCTAGACTGGACTGGTCTGGTCTGGACTGGACTGGACTGGACTGAACTGAACTGGACAGTCTTGTCTTGCGTTATTATACATCTGGTCATATTCATACCTGTGTATTTTTTACTGATGTTTGTGTGTACACACTTTCATTAGGAGGTTAAGGTTAGAGGTATATAAACCCAGTTTACTGCAGAAAGTAGGAATAGTATACTATGGTTATATAACCCTAACCCTGTTGCAAGTACCCTAGCCTACATGTCTGTGCGCATGTGTTCGTACTAATGTGGTCCAAAATATTACGCACAACTTCCTTATTTGGGAAATTATGTCACTCTTGAATACTTTACTTATTTGCAGTGTTGGTTGTTGACGGTAAATCTTGGAAATTCTACCTTAATTTTCAGATTTTAATTTCATTTTTCACCATGTTCATATTGACTATCAACATTTCAGTTTTATAGTAAATTGTAAATTGCTCTAATTTTGTGAAAAACGGATTTTCGAAAAATGGCATTATTCTCTGGAGCTCAATAGTTTGCATGACAGCTGTGTGAACTCAACTTATAGCATTATTTTACATAGTAGATGGAGTCAAGGTTTTGGAATTGAAATTACCCATGATTACTTAGTACAATCCCTGGGATTGAGTGGTTTCCTTTTAAAACAGGGTGCCACATTGACTTTCATGAAATTGTCATTTTAATTTGGAGATTTTATTATGTATCTACTTACAGGGAGGAGTTTTAAGGATGGTTTTTAGGTTAAAGAATTTCAGTTCAATAAAAGTTTATTTTTTGTCAATATTGTTGTGTGATCTTTCTTCTACAATTATGTGTTCAAGAAATCGTCCATTCCCCTGCATGTTTCACAAAGTCAGCACAATATTTTGCTTATATTTTAGTATTTTTCAAAAATTGTTTTCATCATTTTGAGCCAAATGGGCACAGCCTGAAAGGCGGACTATTAATTCTTATTTCCAGTTTCCATCTCTAACATTTTCTTAAAAATTCTGCAGCAGATATCAATGAAACTTGGCAGATTGATGAACATGTCTATATTGAATTTGCTCATAATTTTTTTCCCCCAGATCTGAAATTCCTAAGTGGGTCTTTTTCATGATTTTCATCCAAAACTACCTCTCCCAACACCACTGAGCATGCTCAGAATAAATAATTAGCTTAGATTGTAATGCTAGGGTTTTTAGTGATGTCATGACCTTTATCTGAATCAGTGACAGATGGGTCGTGCCATTACCAATCTCAGTGGAAACTGTAGAGGGGTGTCAGAGCTACATTTTGATGGGAATTATAGTAGTGATACTGAAACAAACCCAGGTCCTGGTAATATAAAAAGACCTGAATTAACAAAGAAGTCAAGTTTTTATTAAAAGATGCATCAAGGCTTACTCTGATTTATGAATGTATGAGACATAGTTTGGTTGCACTTGTGTACTAGATTTTGGACCCGGGTCAATGAAAGTTTTCCGTTATCAGATTAAGGGAAATCACTTTATGATGAGTTGTATGCACACAATACATATTACCGGTAATTCAATTGTTTGCAGATGTTCCATGTATTATTTTAACATAAGTAATTTATAATTAAATAACGAGGACTGTGACATTCACGTCTTGTTGATTAAATAACGAGGACTGTGACATTCACGTCTTGTTGGCTATAGTTCTTTATGAAAATGTTTGAAAAAATCTGACATGTAACATTTTGTTTTGTGAATAGTGAATGACAGTTGACTTTGGTGCTCAAAAGATTATGGCATATGGTAGAACTTGAAAACAGCAAAACATATGACAAACTTGAAAACAACTTGCAATTTTCAAAACTGCTATGACAGTCTTTCAGTATACTTGGTTAATACATTATAGTAGGTCAAATGTATCTAATCGAACATTAAATTTAAAGGTGGGCTGCCTACATTCATATCATTGATTTATCACATGTTTGTTGACAAATCTGTTACTGCACCAGAATATCAAGAGAGTTGTGGGGGAAACTGCCACAAACAGTATAGGATCTTTAAATCTCACCAGATAGACTGTAGATACATCAAGCAGTAGACGGTATACCAGTGTGCAATGTTCTAATGGTGAACACGCATTTATTCAGTTGTACTGCAACGAGATAGAGCTAGTTGAAAAACTACATAGGCTAGGACGATTTGAAACAATGTATCACTTGGAGTACAAAGGATGAAGTCTGTCTTAATTAACACTCTTTGTCTATTTAAAGACAAGGGTAGATTCAGACCTTAGAATTTTAATCCTTGGCGTCAATTAATATGATTGGTTGTTTTAATTGAGCCAATCAGGGAGAACACACTTATGCAAACTGATAGAAATGGCTGAATACAGGCCAAAGTGTGTTTCTTTGCGTCACGAAAACAGCATAAATCTATAGGAAATTTGGCTACTACTACTCAATCTTGATAACATAACTAAAGATAATAAACACTGATAATCACATACAACAATGAAATAAATCCGATAAAAAGAAGTGAAGTTATGGTTAAATAACATGAAAAATATATGTATCCACATGGTAATAACGAAAAGAGTCATATTTTTAACATAACTATGGAAATTAAGCACGGAGCAACCAAACTTGTTCTATGTTGATATAGACATCACAGGCAAAACTAACAAAGTTGAAGGGATATGGGGATTTAACAGTAACTGTATAGAAATGGTCGAAATTACCTACCCAGAAAAATGAAGTGTTGCAACTCCAAGAAGCTGTATGTAAAATTCATCAAAGAAGCAAATATGAGTTTAGTGTTAAAATTGTCCATTTGTTTATATAATTAACCCATAATTTGACTTTTGACGTAATTGAGTTGACAATGGTAAGACAACTCAACTAAAGGCAACTAACACATTAATTTAATGATGGCCGCCTTATGTTCCGAAATCCCCATGTTCCGAAATCTCCATGTTTCGAAATCCCTATGTTCCGAAATCTCCATGTTTCGAAATCCCTATGTTCCGAAATCCCTATGTTCCGAAATCCCTATGTTCCGAAATCCCTATGTTCCGAAATCCCTATGTTTCAAAATCCCTATGTTCAAAATCCCTGTTTCGAAATCCCTATGTTCCGAAATCCCTATGTTTCAAAATCCCTATGTTCCGAAATCCCTATGTTTCAAAATCCCTATGTTCCGAAATCCCTATGTTCCGAAATCCCTATGTTCAAAATCCCTATGTTTCAGAATCCCTATGTTTCAGAATCCCTATGTTCAAAATCCCTATGTTACGAAATCCCTATGTTTCAAAATTCCTATGTTCCGAAATCCCTATGTTTCAGAATTCCTATGTTTCAGAATCCCTATGTTCAAAATCCCTATGTTCCGAAATCCCTATGTTCCGAAATCCCTATGTTTCAGAATCCCTATGTTCAAAATCCCTATGTTTCAAAATCCCCATGTTCCGAAACCCAGTGACTAAATGTTTCCTCATTTGAGTGTTCCGACACTCAGGGCGGTGGGGAGGTATAGCGAAAGTTACAAATTACTCGTGAATAAGCGCTATTTGGTGACCGCATTCCACGTAAAACATTTACGTTACATGGTACCATGTGTAAAGTTGTTAATGACGATCCAGATAATCGCATATACATCTATACTATTGGATAACGTGTCTTCTTTGTGCAATTAATTGGGTCACGGTGTATTTTTTGTATTTCCCCGCCAAGTGGTTAATCAACATTTGCGTTATGATGCTATCAAATTGGCGAGGTCAAGAGTTCAGCGGGAACGAGCGCTACCGGGACTTCCGGATGGTTCAGGATGTGTCGCAGTGTGATATTCGCACGCGAAATGACATTCACATACTACACCTATGTTTCACATACGTTTTACTTCTATTTACTATAAACCCTCCCAACGGAAACTCTCCATACTTCTTTGTAACTAAAAATTCTCGAAATAAAACTGTTTTTACATGTAGAAATTTTTCCAAACAAATTTAGCGATTTTTGTCGGAAATATAAATGGGAAGGTTTAATGTTTATTATTATTACTGATGTTGTATCGTTTACTATACTGATATACACATCGTTTATACTGCCTAAGCTTGAATGTAACAAAGATTGACACAGTCGGACTTCTTTTTTGTTTTACAAAAAGAAATAATTAAGTGGTTGGAGTCATTTTCGCGATTACGCTAAACTGACAATTGACAAAAAACAAACAAAAAAGAAGTCCCTTGAAGAACCCTTTGCTATGTACGAACGTGGGAGGCAACCACATACATTTTGTATTTACCACAGTAAGCCTAAATAAAACTAAATTAATGGTATTCAATAAAAGAAATCATAAAATGAATCAGAAGTCAGTGTTTTGTGAGGGAAATGAAATTGACACAGTAGACAGTTTTAATTACCTGGGTATAGTTTTCACTTCGAATGGAAAATTCAAAACTGCGCAAATACTTTAAAAGAGAAAGCTATGGAAGCAATGTTTCCACTAAAGCAGTCTTTATTAACATTATTACATTATAAAATTTGATAAATTAATTGTACCAATTATTAATTATGGGTGTGAAGTATTGGGAGATGAATCAGCAAAACATAGTAACATTATAAAAAGTGTACAGTTTGCATTCTGTAGATTTCTTTTAGGTGTCTGTTATTCTTGTAGAGCTGGGTAGATATCTATTGAACATCAACATTAACACACAGATGATAAAATATTGGTTGAGACTAAAATCATCAGAAGTTCCCAAAATGGTAGCAACTGCTTTAAAATTTATGGAAATAAAAAGGTGATAAACAGGAATGGGTAGAAAAAATAGAAGAGATAACTAAAAACAAAAATATTTCAGAACTATCAAAACAACATGAAAAGAAGATAGGGGAGGTACTCAGAGAAAATTATGTAAAAACATGGAGAAGGGAATTATTTAATGACAGCAGAATGAATGGAGCAACAAACAAACAAACTAACTTCATATAGAACATTAAAAACTACCTTCAATATGGAGAATTATTTAATTGATATAAAAAAAAAAAAAATTAGGGCGATCTTTTTAGAATTTCTGACCATAAACAAAACTGGCAAAAAAAATTTCCTATAAACGAATGAATATGTAAATTTTGTACAGATGATGAAATTGAAGACGAGTACTATTTCTTAATAGGATGCAGTAAATATGACGTACTCCATAATAAATTATTTAAATATATATAGGACAAAAAAATCGATTAATTTTGACAAGCTTTGCATGAATAGAGACTGCACAATTCATACATACAAGTATGAACTTGAGAGATTGGACGTAACAACTCCATCAAATTAGTCTGCAGGTAGTTTTAATGCAATGGCATATTTAGTAGCTTAGTAGTTTTATTCTTAAACTAATTTTCATGTATTTTTTCTTCCATTCTTAGTTACATTTATTCAATGTTTTATTCGTGATTTTGGTGGTCCAGGAGTTAAATGTATTCAGCTTTTATTTGTTTTAAACAATAACATTACGTTATCATGTTTTCCTTCGTTTTATAATTATATGAATTTAATGTGCCATTTGTGATTTTAGTTGCGTGAAGTATTATTATTCTCGGTAGTAGATTTTCGCGTTAAATAAAATTATTATTATTATTATATTTGTACCAAAGTTTCCCGCTCAAGTTCAGAATCCCTACCAGGGTATATAAACACTCAATGTACTTGATTTATGGCTTTTCTATGTTCACGTACTTCAAATAAACAACTAGTTATACGCTAATAAGTATGTATCGTGTCTGACTGCTGGACATCTGGTTTTATAAAGATTATTACCGGTACGTCCATCGATATAGGCGCGGAGAGTTCCGTGAAAATAGAAGTCGACACTTCGACTGACTATCATACAGAGGCTCGGTGAATAAATCGTCACGTAGTACTAGTAACGGCAATCTGAGGCTTTTGTCATTTCAAAATATTATTTCGACGCGAAGGCGATATTCTGAACGATGGCCCATTCCCGGTTTTGCACAGGTAACCCGTTTATATAACGAGTTTCTCTTTACATCTCTGGATCATTTGAGATCACGTGCTTTGAGTCGAAGGGGATTCCCAACGTCATATCCGGTTATCCCCGATCCGCTATATACAATGAATGCAATCTGTGGTACTGTTATGTAAAGGTGAACCATACTGAGTATACAAGTTATGTGACTGAATTGACGAAACTTATAATGTTATAAGTTTAATTAATAATATGGCATCTGAAAGCGGTGGATATGTTGTATTAGGAGGTGGGATCGCTGGCGTCACATGTGCCGAAACAGTAAGTATAATACCGACTTGCTGTCGGTCACACTTCTGATGAGAGCGATTGAGTTGGGGCATGGGAAAGACTTTCTTTTGTACCCCCATCCCTAACCCTAACTCTAACACTCATTCACAGTTAACAACAATTTATTAACTCATAACAACCTACTGAAGGAGGTTAAAGGTTACAACAACAACAAAAATTATAGATACAAATTAATCAAATTACAATGGCTAATAGTTTAAAGACAACCAGAAACAGACTAAATTGAAGTTAGTAACGGAAATATATAATGAAGTAAATTGAAACACCAACAAAAAACTATAAACTGAATATAAAAAGAAAAACCCAATGAATAGGTTTAAAAAAAAAAGTTAATAACTAAGTAGGTGCTGCTGTCTAATAGCAAAGCTGTATTTCAGATATTGTGCCAGAGGAATTGCTAAGTTATTATTTGACATTATTTTTATGAATTTATTTTCAGGTGTGAGATTAGTAAAGTCAGGAATAATCTTTTCAGCTTCATTGTATAAAACGACCCTCTCTTTACTATATACTGGGCATATTATGAGGAAGTGATGTTCATCTTCAATATCATTTTTATTACACAAGTTGCAGATTCTGTTGCTACTTTTGATTCTGTTGTGTCTTCCTTTTTCAATTTCTAAACTGTGATTGCTCAGTCTGAATTTAGTTAGGGTACTTTTCAGTTCTTTATTTTTTAGCTTAATTAAGTAGTTTTCCAAAATGAAGTTTGTTTTAAATTTTTTGTAAGTCCTCAGTTTGTTTTTTGTATTAGTGTTTTGTCTGTTATCATCA